TGTCCATGTAAGTGGACCACGAAATACCAGTGTTATTACGAAAGTCGTGTCTATGTAAGTGGACTTGGAAATACCAGTGTTATTACGAAAGTCGTGTCCATGTAAGTGGACTTGGAAATACCAGTGTTATTACGAAAGTCGTGTCTATGTACGTGGACCACGAAATACCAGTGTTATTACGAAAGTCGTGTTCGTGTAAGTGGACTAGAAAATACCACTGTTGTTACGAAAGTCGTGTTCGTGTAAGTGGACTAGAAAATACCACTGTTGTTACGAAAGTCGTGTCCATGTAAGTGGACTTGGAAATACCAGTGTTATTACGAAAGTCGTGTTCGTGTAAGTGGACCACGAAATACCAGTGTTATTACTAAAGTCGTGTTCGTGTTAGTGGACCACGAAATACCAGTGTTATTACGAAAGTCGTGTTCGTGTAAGTGGACTAGAAAATACCACTGTTGTTACGAAAGTCGTCTCCTTGTAAGTGGACCACGAAATACCACTGTTATTACGAAAGTCGTGTTCGTGTAAGTGGACTTGGAAATAACACGCAGCAACGTAGAAATTTTTAGTTTCTCACGTCTGTATAAAACTGACGTTCTCTGTATCTCCTCTTCCCCTCATGTCACTAAATTGTAATTTATAGAAATATCTGGGTAATCTCTGAATAGATTGAAAGAGACCGAGCGTCAGACGTTACAGAGACGTGTATATGATGAAGTACGTAGTGTGGCTTATTGATCGGCGTTATATACTATATAAATTATATAACTGTCCCCAATATGATAAAATTGGCAACTTATTGCCATTCTTTTCTGAATTTGCCCCCCCCCCCACCAGTGACACGAGCCGTATGTCTGCGGACTTACAACGCTAGAAACCGGGTTTCGATGCCCGAGGTTGGCAGAGCACAGATAACCCATTTGAAGCATTGTGCCAAATTTCAAACAAACTTTTCTGAATTTCTAGGGTAAATCTTGTATCTATTCCTAGACGGGGTAAAGGGCCATTACCCCCACTTTTAATAATCTGAGCTTGGATAACGATGTAGAAGGAGGGCGGTAAAGCAATAAATGTTGAAAATTCTTAAACATTATATGGTACGAAGCTTAACTTGCCTCACGGAGTATTACCTTAAATTGCCCTAAACTCGTCCCAAAAAAGGGGTGTTTATACAACAAAATAAATTTCTATACCCTATATGGTCACAATACAGTATTGTCGATTGCATTACTTCAGTGTAGTGTAATCATAAAATGTCTATTGAATAATGTATAAAGCTGTTAAATCAGCACCTCTTTATCACAGAATGGCTATTAAATGATGTATAAAGATATTATGTTGACAGCTATTTATCGCAGAATGTGTAGTAAATAATGTGCCATAATTATTATGTATGTCTTGGATATAAATAAAATAAAAAACTACGTTAATAAATGAGTCGCCATTTGCTTTATGAGATCCAACATGGGCAGTTTATAATCTCATTATACAAAATTGCTGACTTCTAGACATTTGGTACGTGGGCACCGGAAGGACTACAAAACTTGAATGGGGCATCCTGAACACGTTAGGGCCCGGCATGGCCAGGTGGTTAGGGCCCTCGACTCGCAATCTGAGGGTCGCTGGTTCGAATCCCCGTTACACCAAACATGCTCGCCCTTTCAGCCGTAGGGGCATTATAACGTGACGGTCAATCCCACTATTCGTTGGTAAAAAAGTAGCCCAAGAGTTGGTGGTGGTGGGTGGTGATGACAAGCTGCCTTCCCTCTACTCTTTCACTGCTAAATTAGGGACGGATAGCGCAGATAGCCCTCGTGTAGCTTTGCGCGAAATTCAAAACTAACTAACTAACAAACAATACCGTATACTACAAACAAAACAAACAAACAATACCGTATACTACAAACAAAACAAACAAACAATACCGGTTACTACAAACAAAACAAACAAACAATACCGTATACTACAAACAAAACAAACAAACAATACCGTATACTACAAACAATACCGATTTTATAACAAAACCACATCAGGCTATCTGCTCTGTCCACCGAGAGGAATCAAACCTCTGATTTTAGCGTTGTAAATCCGAATACCCCCAAAAAGTGAAAACTTTTAACATGAAAGCTAATTAAGTCACTGCATCGTATAAAACATACTCGCACACAGGCTTCTATTTGCCACTCGTGATCTAACATCGACCAATTATAAACGTGATGCTGTTATCGCTATTTTTTTATAAAAGACCATTTAGAACTATCAATCTGTGCCTTGAGTTTTGTATCGTACGTAAGAGAAAGCAAGAAACAGAGATTGAAGATTAAGCTGCGCATGCTCACTTCGCTGCAAATGTTACAGTAGGAAACATTTTTATTATTGTTGTTGTAGCTCTTATTTTTATTTAAAACTGTTATTTAGGTAATAAAACTGGTCGCATAAAAATTTCATTGATCTCCATCTTGGTTTCGCCAAGCCGGTCTTAACTACATCTCTGCCACGGCGTAGGACCCCCAGCTGAATTGGATGGCCCACGCCAGGACGGCCTTCTTTGCCCAACCCCAATTCACGAACCCTAAAACTACTAGTAGGTTCGTATCCCATCAGCTTTTAAAACACCTTTTCTAAACTATTTATGTGCCGAATTTATATATTAGTGTTTAAGGCTCGGTTGTGGTCACCTGTCAAAATTTTACGTTGCTGCTCTTATAGTGCTTCGCTAGTTATTAATTCTTCGGATGAGTCATGATGGAAGAAAACCCATTTCCCATGACACTAGTTTCGCTGTTAGAAGTATAACGAATGTATGTGTAGAGATAATTAGAGGCAATTACCTTGTGCACCCATGGTTACCAAATAGAGTTATTTCTGGGTGCATATAGATAGTTTATCATTGCTAAAACCGTAGTGATTCTGCTACATGTTAATTAGGTGAATACAGAATCAGAGGGAACTTTGTGTATAAAGATCATTCCCAGGGCTCAGAAATTCATGTTCGTTACGTATAGATGGCGTCTTCAGGAAATGAGAATATATATTTTACAGAATAAGATTTTAATGTGGATATATTTAGCTTCAGTGTAAGACTTTATACTGAGAGCTGGTATTAATACAGAAATACTTGACTTCTCTCTTTAGTATGAACCAGGTAATTACAGGATTAAGAATGATTGGAAAATGTTGCCTTTTAACGAATTTGTTATGAATGTTATTTTAGAGCCACGGAGGCAAGCCTACATAAGTGACTAAACAATTAAGAACTTATTCAGTAAACCTGACGTTTACCTGAGTAGTGAGTATCAACCCCCCCCCCCAAAAAAAAACAAAACTTTTAAATCTTTACTGTCAACAGCAACTGTAACCACCGTTTTGGTTTGATCATAATTTAAACTTTGTACAGACTGGTCCAAAATTACCTTTCCTTTTTTTAAAGTTTAATAATTAACTAAGAAAAGACAACCATACAGTTTTCAACTTATTGTTGCCCAACTCAAACAGTTTTTATTGACTTGTCAGTAGACGTCTACGTGTCTACCATAAGTAGCTCTCAGCGTTTAACCAATATTCGATTTCATTCCACGTGTGCTTCAACATGTCCACAGTTACAGTGGCGATTGCATCCGTTATTCTGTTCTTTAGCTCCGTGATGTTTGGTATGGGTGTGTGATATACGATATCCTTAACATACCCCCATACTTCTTTCTTGTACTGGCGTCTGTAATTACGCTGCACCACAGTCACTGACTTGGTCTCTGCAAGTCAAACGAAGCATTGAGCTTTTTTTTTGCACGGTTGCCATTGGATTACACCACTCACTGGAGTAAAAACAACAATAACAACAAACAATATAACAATAAAAACTGATTGAGTTTGGCTACAAGATGCTGAAAACTGCATGGCTATATTTCTTTAGTTATATAATTTTTATATTTTAAAATAGGAAAGATCATTTTGGACCACTCTGTATAAAGTAAAATCTTGTTGATATGCATATTTATTAAAATTCTCCGTTGGCCAAGGAAAATTTCTTAGTTTTGAACTTGTCAGTAATGTTATCTCATTTCTTGATATTTCTGCCATTTTTTTTTTCATAAACTACTGTTATATACATTAAAATTAATTTTATTTTTTGTTCAGAACTTTTTACGTACAAACGTCACTACTGTTGACAGCTCGAAGATCTTTTCTTTAAAACGTAACCATGGTGATGCCTCCCATCTTTTTATAGTAAAAACGTCCATATTGTTGACAGCTTGAAGATTGTTTTTTTACGTAACCATGGTGATGCCTCTGTCCATCTTTTTATAGTAAAAACGTCCATATTGTTGACAGCTTGAAGATTGTTTTTTTTACGTAACCATGGTGATGCCTCTGTCCATCTTTTTATAGTAAACACGTCAATATTGTTGACAGCTTGAAGATGTTTTTATATAACGTAACCATAGTGATGCTTCCGTCCATCTTTTTATAGTGCAAGCATATTACGCATTACATAGATCGTCGTAAAAATCTTTTAAGCCTGAAAATTGATATAGATAAGTGAATCGCGCTTTCCAAGTGCTTCACTTAACTGCGATTCAGTCGAGTTGATCCCGCATTTAGTGAACGTGGTTCAGGTTGCTAGGGGATACGGATCATGTTTCACGCATCGTGTCAACACAAGCAAGATTATTATTTAGTTGTAAGCCTCGCTAGGAAATGTGTATTACGTCATTAGACTCGGAACAACATAACCGTTAAGCGCTTGTTGTCAACAGATAAGAACTACGTTATCAGCGTGTGGCGACGTTCTAGCAAGATAGAATCTCTTGGTTTTGTTCGCCAGAAATATCACCACTCCGAGAAGGACAGCATAGCGTTACTTACTGGACAATAAATTAACGATTTTACTTGCCTTGCAAGTGTTTGGCTGTTGTAATTTTAAGGTGGTTACCCTGATTACATGAGAGGTGAGGGGTGGGGGGTTGTAATTTTCCTCCAGGATAAGTAACATTGGCTAAGAATGTTGACAATTAACATTTCCAAATTTTGAGGCTGTATTTACGTAAGAGAGATATATATGATACTTATTATAAGTTTAATATCGTGATCATCTTTGGAGTGAAAATGGGGTTTTTAAGCAATTAAAAACTGTGACGTTCCAGCCCATAGGAGAAGGACATCTTCGGACAATTGTGGTTAACCTGTATTGTCTAAAATGGCCTCCTTCTATTGGTTAGCTTCTGGTGGCTCAGCGGCAAGTCTGAGGGCGAGTGAGTTGCATGGTTGCGATTTTGGTCGTGAGACCTGGGGTGGTCAGTTGAGGGATAATATAGCTAAAGGTGGAATTTAAATACTCGCGGTGAGAAGAGCACAGAGAGCCCACTGTGAAGCTTTGCACATTTCTACCATAAAGCTGACCAAATTAAAAAATCCAATGAGGGTCCTCATTTCTTAATATTCCACAGTTTTGTTGGGAGTAAAGAATTTACCTTCTTCCCTGAAACATTATCTCGTGTAAAAATTATGTGAATTGGTCTTTATCATATTTAATCAACGAAATTTCGAGGCAACTGTACATATTATTGACTACTTCATGCTCAAGGCTGCATATTTATCTCAAGCGATAGTGTCACGTATATTGAGGTCTGCTGGATCTCGTGCCACCTGCCATGCCTCGTGCGAATCATGTGCCTGGTCCTCTTCTCTCGAAAATGAGATAACCGCCGCGTCATAGGGCAGCTGTGAGGGCGCATCAGTGACAGCTGACTGGCGACCGTGAAATCAGAATGTCAAGATCCATTTGGCAGTGAAGCCTAGCTTTAAAAAAATAATAATAATAGATCTGGAATAATGATTTACTTTTTAAGATTGAGTTCTGGTTATCGTTGCATTTTCGTAACCAAGTTACCTATGTAAGTAGGTCATCGTTATATTGTGACAAGGGTTAAATTATGTTGACTGTCAGTGTATTTGTTATGGCTTGGATTTATTTACAAACAACACGTGTATGAGTATGACGGTGATGAAGTTTCTACTTCAGATTTAAGGTGTGGTTAAATAGTTTTTGGTCGTAAATATTCAAAACATAAACATCGCCAATTGTGACAGCTTATTTGTTTTTACCTCTTCAAGTTTTATCAGAGTTAACTATGAGTGTGAACACGCTATAATTCCCCCAGTGTAATTATAAGTTATATAAAAAGCACCGATGAACTCCTTGGATGTTGTGAAAGTTAAAAATTTAAATAATCTGGCTTGTATTACAGACGTAGTCTGGCATGGATTACAAACACAGCCTGGCTTGTATTACAGACGTAGTCTGGCATGTGTAACAAACACAGCCTGGCTTGTATTACAGACGTAGTCTGGCATGTGTAACAAACACAGCCTGGCTTGTATTACAGACGTAGTCTGGCATGTGTAACAAACACAGCCTGGCTTGTATTACAGACGTAGTCTGGCTTGTATTACATACACAGCCTGGTTTATATTATAAACATAGCCTGGCTTGTATTGCAAGCATAGTCTGATTTCTGCACTGTATTGTAAGTTTTAGGTTTAGAAACTAGATTACAAAAACATTTTAATATTGACAGTGGTGTGCTGACTGAAGATTTTCAAAAAGAAGGTTTACATTATGTCATTTAGAGCAAGGCTCATTCTGGCAAGATGTGTGTGGACCAGGAATATGTAGTGAAGACAAAATGTTTTAAGTTCTAAATATAGAAACTGGGACATTTCCCAACTGTTAAATTCTGTAATATTCTACAGTACACTTAAAATAAACCACAGTAACAGGAATTTTTTAAAAAGAATTGTAATATGAAACATAAACAAGTTAGGCCTGACTATAAAAGAAAATATCTAAAAGAATGTTCAAGAAATCAAAAAAACTAAAATAATTCAACAGGTGAGTCATGCCATTGATGGAATAAAATGTTTGAATACCAGATACTCGTAATATTTGTATTCTAGAATACTCCATTCATAATTCATTTATAAAGATATCTCAATGAAAGACAAAGGCTAAGTTTTTTTTTTATGCGTCCATTTTTGAAATCAAATATTATATAAATGGTTAAATTTCAATTTTATTAAAAGCAGCATATTTACTTACTATTAACAAGAGTATATTAACTAGCTTAAACTACTATAGCAAATAAAAGTTTTTACAAAGCATAGAAAGACAGAAGTGGTTTTGTGATTTCTCAAGTCTCGTTAATTTTAAGCATAAGAATGTGATAGATGCATGTTGTAAATTCAAAAGGTTTAGATAAAGGACCAAAGTGTCAAAACAGTGTGATCAATAGTCTATACTAATGTGTGTGTGTGTATCTCTATATAATATTTCTTTGAAGCTCTAAGGTTTTAAGAGTCCTCTGTAGCTAATGATTAATTTGTATACAGAACTACCACATGGCCCAAAGACTCCCTCCTTGACCATGCACGTCCGTCCCAAATCTAATGTTCAGGCTATGGCTGCTGTCTCATCCTTTCATCCCGGTCAACATAGTAACATGATTGGCCACTTGAGTGGAAGTAATAATTCTGCACTGAACGCCACGAGGACTTCCAGTTTTGCCGCAGCTCTTCGTAAACTAGCAAAGCAAGCCGTGGATCCAGTATTGGGTGAATGTTTATGTTATTATTTATTTAAATTTGATATTTTAAAAGCAGGTAAAAAATACTGTATAATCAGGTGTTACTTTTAATATTATATCTTGTGTTTATCGAGTTGTATGTGCTTTATTATCAGAGAAAAACATTTTTCACTTAAATGTCTAATGAATAAACTTGGAGCTATGAACAGTGGTGTTAGGTAAATGATACTGAATAGTTATACAGACATATGTAAGCTGAAAAAAGCACTCACCATCAAACAAACTCACATTTTTATGGGTTTTTTTTTCTCCAGAAAAAGATCTCGTATCCAATACTCCTGCTTCATCCCCTGCTGTAGTCTCAACATCAGGGACACCAAAACATATGTTTACAGCACCATACCTCTCCAGTAATGGTCCAACGACATCTACTGCTCCATCTCCAGCAATCACTATCTCTCATACTCCTAGTCAGTTAGCCCTGTCTTTAGAGACTAGAAATGTAAGTGTTTTTACTTGTACAGTTTCCACTTCTAATTGCAATAAGCTAGGAAAGAAACACAAAGACGCAGTAATTAAGATTGCGTACTTTTTCTTACACATACAATATATATATGGTTACTTTTTGTGAAACCGCAGAGATGAGGCCTTTTATTTCAAATCACATCTCTGAGACTACCATTATACAGTTGTTAAATAGATGTATCATTTTTCAAGTTGATTGAGCAATTGTTTTGTTTTATTATATTATTCCTTTAAATTAAACTGTTTGTAATCATTTTTTGGGTTATTTTCCCAGAGGGCTGATGTGTCAAGATTGGGTTATCTTGTTGTGGACAGCAAAGTTGCTCAAAGTGAGAAGAGATACGATTCTTACCTTAGGTCCAAGGATCATCAGGTCGTATCTCACCTCAGGTCAGTATTGTTGTTTCATTCTCAAGGTGTTTGTACAGTTTTGTAGTAGATATCACTGTTTCTGAAGACATCTCTTTCTCTCTCTATTGTTCTCATGAAGTTTCTCTTATTGTAACATTGTGAATCACGTGTGCAACTTTAAAAAACCACAAAATAAATTTTATAATATAGTCTCATGACCTTTAGAAAACAACTACTTCAGTTTGTAGATGAATAATTGTTTATCGTAATAGCAACAAAAACTCATAAGAGCTAATCTCACATATAGCATGACTCAGTTAGGCATGCGAAGATGTATCGCACGTATTTGATGGTTGTCAATTATATTTTGGAGCACCAAAACTTTACCATGCATCAGAAATAGATCATAAAAAAATTAGATCTGTATTGTGAAGTTGGAATGTGTAGATATTCAAAATAAAAAAAGCAAAGCGTGTACAGAAATAGGCCGAACTTGTTACTGTACTAGGGATACGTACGGTACAAGTGTTTAAAAAAAAGGAGACTTTATTCGGATTCTTGTGTCCAACGCAGGTCAGAATCAGTCGGTAATCCTCCAGATGCTGGTCGTCCATCCATCAGTGGCTTTCAACCCTATAGAAGTGTCAGTGACGTTTCCCATTCTCACCCTTCTCTGTACGATCATCATCATCTACCTTTACTCCCAGCACCTTATCCATATCATACACCATTTTTACCTCCGAGTCATTTTCCTCACGTGGCTTATGGGTAAGTTGTACCAGGGTCTACATCTATGGTTACTGGAGATTTAAATCATTCTTTAACTTTTCTCTGTTCTTTCCATGTTCCACAAAATAAGGGAAAAAAAAGTGCTTTCGATGGAATTTATAAAAAGCTTCCAAGTACAAAGTAAATGACACTATAAAGATTCAGTAGTTTAAGATATCTGTAATGATAACTTTATTTCAGACAACTTAGACCACTAGTTTATTACATCAAAATAGTTTAAGTTTAAATCAACATTTCCTTAATATTTATTTAAAGGGTTTTCTTATAGTCATACTATTGTAAATTTTTGTTTTATCCTCCATATTTTAACTGTAAATTTCCTTAAATTATTCATTATTTTTAGTAATGAGTTATAATGATTAGGTTTAATATAAAATATTTATATATAATATTCCTTAATTCGTTACATTTTGGACAAACAAGGATAACGGGATACTCATCTCGTATAACTTTTACTTCATTGCTTCACGCTTTAATTATACCATCTTTCTGATGCACCTACATTTTCACAAAGGCCTCTTTCTGATTCAAAATTATGATTTGAGATTTGTAATTTGGCCAAAGTTGACCTTTTAAACTCTCCAAATAGTATGAACAAATACCTTTCTGGTTCTAAAACCGATTTAACAGTAATATATTTATCCAATTTATTACAATCATATGAATATTGGTTTTTGTGTATAAGTATCTTCAAGTCTTTGCTAAATTCTTTAATTCCAATCTGTTGTATTTCCTATACGTAACCAGCTCCACATGTGGGAAGCCAATGTCTTATCTTATTTGTCCAGTAAACTCTTCCATCTAAACAATTATCCATACCATAACATGTTTTAGAAACCTGTTACTTTCCATTTTTATAACCAATAATTTACATCTTACTTCATACTTAACAGATAGAGGCGGCTTCATACTTAACAGATAGAGGCAGCTTCCTACATTCACTAATACAGCTACTTTGTAGCCCTCTTCGATATATCTGTAAATGTACCGTTAATCATGAATATTTGGACATAATGTGTTTGAAAATGTGAAATGTAGTTTATCTTGATTAGCTAGATACCTACTAGGTTATTTTTCTGTAGTTTTATTAGCTTTATAATTTCAGTTTTAACTAACAGATGCTGACTTGTAATAAGCATGACAGACTTCAGAGTAATCTATCCCATGTTTATCTTGCAGTTGATTATCAGATGTCATAACTGTAGTGGGCCTATATTCAGAATTTTTAATTATTATACTCGTTTAGTCATTGTATGGTGGACTTGAACACTTATGGTGTAAGAATGAAGTTAAATATTTCTGTTTTATCCTATCATGAAGTATCTCTTAAAGTAAGTATAGATAAATATACTCTTTTAATTAAAGAAAATGTTAAAGGCATTTTGATGGAATCAGATTCTAAATTCAGTGGAAATATTTACCCCTTCGAGATATAACACAAGTATTACATTCAAATTGTATTGTCACATGGTTATAAAACTCAATTTGAAGGTTTGATAGTTTTTTTACACTTGGTCTTACAGACTTAAAGATTCATCTTACCTCGATCACTGTGGCATCGTGAGATCTCCCATGTGGTCATTTCTCCCAGCTCCTGGTATGGTTTCCAGAACTAACATGCCTTTCGTTCCTGACAGACCCTATCCATCAGAGATTCTAGGGCATTCCTTAGGACTTGTTTCTCCTGGTGTCTCTGTCCTCAACCATGAAAGGTCAGTAGGTTTAAGTTTCTCTTCAGAAGTTGTCTGTCTTGGTTTCATTGTCATCAGGTGTTAAACTAATTGTGAAGATCAGTGTATTCACTGTATTCTGATGATGTGGTCTGCAAGAAGTAACTGTAACATATAAGTTTAGAATTTGATTCTTGAAGTTTTGAACACTAGAAATAAGGGAGCAAGATTATTGTATAAGAAAGTTCTGAAATAGACAAAATAAACTAAACCTTTCTTTAAAAAAAACGTCAGTTTCAGAGTTCTTCAAGAAGAACGGTTACAGGAAAGGGAAAGAGAATTAGTACAAGAAAAAAAATGGGATCAGGAGAGAGACCAAATAAGGGACCAAGACATAATACAGAGTCAAGAAGTTACTGAAAGTACAGAAGAAAGGAGTTCTACTTCACGTAGCCCATTGATATCTTCTAAAAATGAGCCAGTGGGTATGTATTTCATTTTATAATAAATAAAAATCCTATAACCCGAGCACTTTTGAAAGGTGGACCTTTCCTTTTCGAGGGCTAACTGAAGAAGAAAGGTCCACCTTTCGAAAGCTCTCCGATTATAGGGTTTTTATTCATTTGTATCAGGACTTCTTAAACCTACATCATGAATATTTCATTTTATAAAGTTATGTAGATGTTCTTGTAAAGCTTTTGCTTTTCAGATAAAGAAAATAAGAGTTAGCAGTTAAATTCCTGAGAGAGAGAGAGCATGGTTACAATATCAGTCTTACTATATGTGTCTTACTAATTTTATCCAATTACTTACAGCACCAATTTAGTCTAGATTGGCTTGAAAGACTGAGTAAATTAGTTTGTAAATTGTATCATCCTATCTCTGTTGGTCGATATAATGAGACCCCCCCATGATGATATTGCTTCCAACTCCTGTTGAATATTTGGCTTGAAAGACTGAGAACATTAGTTATTATATGATATTATTCTATCGTTATTGCTGTAGCATCATGAGAACCCCCCCCCCACCCCACACACACACAATGTCACCAACTCCTGATGTGCTTTTTTTTGTGTGAATATTTGAATTATTATAAATTTCAAATATTTTTGTAAAGGAGTTGTTTTGTCATAAAGAGAGTTTTTTTTAATATTTTTTGACTTATGCTCAATGACAGTTGTGAGGTTTTAATTCCTGATAATCCTTTTTTCTAAAACTTCATGTTAACGTTGACTTATGTGGAATATAATGTTTTTTATCGAGTAACTTCAAACGTAGAAACATTTCCACAGGAACGTATCGTTCATTCACTCAGGGAACACCTCGTGACTTAGTCATTAAATGGCCACCTCAGGAAACCGTCACATCCTCAACTCCTTTGAACTTGACAACATACTCTACAGGGTTAAAGGAACACAAAGAAATGGCAACATATCCTGAACGAGACATGCCTGAAGGGTTAGGTTATAAGCACCCATTGTTGCTCAACCAGGTAAGATCTGATTGTTTGACTTTATCCTGAACGAGACATGCCTGAAGGGTTAGGTTATAAGCACCCATTGTTGCTCAACCAGGTAAGATCTGATTGTTTTGACTTTATCCTGAACAAGACATGTCTGAAGGGTTAGGTTACAAGCACTCATTGTTGCTCTACCAGGTAAGATCTGATTGTTTTGACTTTATACTGAACAAGACATGTCTGAAGGGTTAGATTATAAGCACCCATTGTTGCTCAACCAGGTAAGATCTGATTGTTTTGACTTTATCCTGAACGAGACATGTCTGAAGGGTGAGTTACAAGTACCCATTGTTACTCTACCAGGTAAGATCTGATTGTTTTGACTTTATACTGAACAAGGCATACTTGAAGGGTGAGTTACCAGTACCCATTGTTACTCTACTAGGTAAGCTTTGATCAGTTTGACATTTTAAGATCTATTTATTTTATTCTGTGCTTAGGATTCACTTTGAAGAATATTTTGTATTTGATATGTGTGTTGGGAATACTTTCGAAAGAAAAATCCAAAGAACAGCATCTAATGTATATTGGTTATCTTAATTTAATTACATGTTTTTAATTTTTAAAAAATTGTACCTTTCCCTTGTTAGCACTTTACTGTTTCATGGTTATATATTTCTTTTAAATATTAATAAAAAAGAAAATAGGAAAAATTAGTCAGTTTCTTTGTTGGATAGAACAGGACAGCATAGATAACCTAGGTGTCAACTTCAGCCAGGTGAATTTGGTCACCCGATGTGTATAAACTAAAATACAGCAATCACAGTTCAACTAAACATGTTATGTTAATGTACAACAGTTTTATTACACAAAATAGATACTTTGATATGTATTAGTTAAGTATATTACGGTGACTAAGTTTGTATATTTATTAATATTTTGCTTCTCTTTAAGTAGTTTCTTTGTAGCATGTAGACTACGGCATGCCACATAATGTTGCTGCATCCTAATTGCTGAAATCTTGTTTCAGAGTGAATAAAAGGTTAACGATTTAATCACGTTTTTGTACTCACATTGTATTTAGTTTGGTTGTATTAAGCACAATGGACTATCTTTGCTCTGTCCACCACGGGTATCAAAAACCGACTTTTAGTGTTGTAAGCCTACACACTTAATGCTGAGCCACTAAGGGGCTTCATATTTTGTTGTTATTTATTAAATCAGTATTGATTCTCAAATAGAAAAATATAAATTAAAACATATTTTATGGGGTTAATGAACAATTAAACTTGTTATTTTTTAGGACATTGAAAGAAATTTGCCACTTCCCTGTAGTCAAGCTACTAAAGAAATTGACAAATACTTCAGAAAGAAGGCTGAAAAGTCCATAGCTAAATCTTTGATCGAGGTACAAGATTCACGGTCTTCAGGAAGCACACGGCTGCAGAAGAAACTACAAAACACCATAACTGACACTCGTAGTAGTAATAATACTATTTATGATTACTGTACTAAAAATATTGCTGGTCGGAATGGAACCAAGAAAGGAACATGCATTAATGGAGATTTAAAAGACCCTCATGATACAATGAGAGATTTATTACCTGGAAAGCCTAAACACATACTTTGGAATAAAGTTGATATAAATTATACATTATCAGAAGATGATAAAAGATGTATTGACTTGAAAACATGTTCAGAGCCAAATAAAACACCTAGTGGCCTAAAACTACTGAATACATGTAATTACAACTACCACTTTACTCCCACTCACCCATCTCGAGTTACTGTCAATTCAGAGAAGAAGGAAGTGTGTGGAGTCATCATTGAGAATGGCAATAGTCCTCGTCAATCGATGTCTGCACATGATCGAAATGATACAAGAGACACAGTCTGTAATCTTCCCCCCAGAGTTGTGAGTAAGCTGGACATGGAAGAAACGAAGTTGAAGAAAGTTAGACTCGATGGCACTTATCAGAGTGACATTAATGATTCTGATGTGGAAGAAGGTTATCTTTTCTTGATTAAAAGTGGCCCCCCTTTAAAGCTAGACCTAAATCCTAAAGTGAGTAACAAATACACTACTTCTATATGAAATTGTTTTTTTGTTTTTTTTATAATGAGTAATTTTCCAAATCTTTAGTATTACGACCACTGCTATAAAAATACTGTATATGTAACAATCTGTAGGTGTGATTGAAAATGTATTTTAGAATAAACTCATTATTTTAAGTGAAATCTCAATTCGGAAACTTATGAAATAAACATAAAGGGGAAATACTTAAAACAAATAGTAAATTAATTATAATTTCTATTAAACATATTAATTATTACTTAACAAATACTGATTTTTTTTTTTCCTTTACAGAAATTACAATTCCTAAAGGTACTAGGTTTGACAACGCATCAGAAAAGAAGAGGTAAGAAAAATGAAATCACTTTAAATCTGAAACATTATATTGAAAAATAGGTATTTATCAGCTTTTGTCATCTTTACATCACATTAATGTTATTTTATCTTTTGACATGATTCCAAATAAAAGTACATTAAACCAATGACTGTCAAGAAAGTCCATAAATCTCATATATAACATAAAGCATGCTGAAGATAAGTAAAGGCTAGAACTAATAGGTCTTATACTCATGTGAAAATGGTTGCTGGAGGTATCTTACACGCCACAAAAATCGAAAAAACAGCTAAAATGGGATAGAAAAAAACATTGAATGAAACAATATTTTGCCACTCGAAATCGAACTGGTGTATTCAAGTGTTTTACACTCGCATAAAAGAAACCTATCATTCTATAGGTATTTGAAGAACTTGTAGCAATTCTTCGTATTGCTAGCCAACACTGGGCAGCTTGTACAATTGAATTTCGATACCTCACTACTATAAAGGCTTGGTTTTGTGTGATATTTCATTGGTGGTAGCGTCCTGGGTCACTGATGAGGAGTGGAATTCTCCGAAACTAGTCTGGCTCACAGACC